AACCCTCTTCCCTTCCTCTCTCTCCTAACTCTCAACCTCTTTTCTATCTTTCTTTCTCTTCAAATAATCTTTCCTTCCAGTTACTGTTTCTCTTTCCATCTCTTATTCTCAGCAGGTTTAATCTCTCATCGTTAGCTTATTCACACACACCACAAAAATCATCACTTTTCTTTTTCTTCCTGTTCTTATTCTTATTCTTCTTCTTCCCACTTTTATTCCTCCTCTTAATCTTACTCCTTTTCTCCACCCTTCTTCTTATAATTATCGTTTTATCATCATTTATCATTATCATCAATACATCTAACAAAACCAAACCCTTCTACTCCTGTTATAAATTCTCATTATCTTTCTCACCAGCTCTCCTTGTCTCCTTTCTTCCCATTTCATGTCTCATTATACTTCTTCTCCATCATCGTTATCTCTCTCTCACTACTTCCTCTTCATCATCATTATCCTTTCACACTTCCTTCCTTATCGTGTTTTGTCTCTGTATATTTTATATATTTTGAGGGTTTTTTTTTATTCGTTGTGATGATAGTGAGTTAATGAATGGTGGTGGTGATGATAGTGAGGTAATGAATGATGATGATGGTGATGATAGTGAGTTAATGAATGGTGATGGTGGTGATAGTGAGTTAATGAATGGTGATGGTGGTGATAGTGAGGTAATGAATGGTGATGGTGGTGATAGTGAGTTATTGAATGGTGATGGTGGTGATAGTGAGGTAATGAATGGTGATGGTGATGATAGTGAGGTAATGAATGGTGATGGTGATGATAGTGAGGTAATGAATGATGGTGGTGATGATAGTGAGTTAATGAATGGTGATGGTGGTGATAGTGAGGTAATGAATGATGGTGGTGATGATAGTGAGGTAATGAATGGTGATTATGGTGATGATAGTGAGTTAATGAAATATGGTAGTGATGATAGTGAGTTAATGAATGGTGATTATGGTGATGATAGTGAGTTAATGAATGATGATGGTGATGATAGTGATATGAAGGTGATATGTGATATTGAGTTAATGAAATATGGTAGTGATGATAGTGAGGTAATGAATGGTGATTATGGTGATGATAGTGAGGTAATGAATGGTGATGGTAGTGATGATAGTGAGTTAATGAATGGTGATGGTGGTGGTGATAGTGAGGTAATGAATGATGGTGGTGATGATAGTGAGGTAATGAATGGTGATTATGGTGATGATAGTGAGGTAATGAATGATGGTGGTGATGATAGTGAGTTAATGAATGATGATGGTAGTGATGATTGTGAGTTAATGAATGGTGATTATGGTGATGATAGTGAGTTAATGAATGATGATGGTGATGATAGTGAGTTAATGAATGGTGACTATGGTGATGATAGTGAGTTAATGAAATATGGTAGTGATGATAGTGAGGTAATGAATGGTGATGGTGGTGATGATAGTGAGGTAATGAATGGTGATGGTAGTGATGATAGTGAGTTAATGAATGGTGATGGTGGTGGTGATAGTGAGGTAATGAATGATGGTAGTGATGACAGTGAGTTAATGAATGATGATGATGGTGGTGATAGTGAGTTAATAAATGAAGATGGTAGTGATGATTGTGAGTTAATGAATGATGATGATGGTGGTGATAGTGAGTTAATAAATGAAGATGGTGGATTGTAAAGATTGTTGTTGATATTGTTATTGTTGTTATTATTGTTGTATTGTTTTTGTTATTATTATTGTTGTTGTTACTGTTTTTATTGTTGCTCATTTTATTATTATTATTATTATTATTATTATTATTATTATTATTATTATTATTATTATTATTACTTACAAAAAAATATTTATTAAATCACTTTAAAAAAATATATGATACTTATTTAGGGATATAACTTAGAAATAAACTACTTAATAAAATCTCACTTTCAAAAACCACAACAGTGTTAAAAAGTAAAAGGGTTCCACTACTTATAAAACAAAAGATGACTTACAACACTACTTAAAATCATCTGTTATTTTTGGCCTTATTTAAGAAGCCACTTTAGCTGAAAAAATAAGATTACTGCTCTCGTGTTTGTGGTCTTAGACATATTAGGTGGTGTAGGTGAGGGCAGGTAGTGTAGGTGGTGGCTAGGTGGTGTAGGTGGTGGCCAGGTGGTGTAGGTGGTGTGTGGTGGCTAGGGGTGGTGTTGGTGGTGGCCAGGTGGTGTGTGTGTGGGTGGCCAGGTGGTGTAGGTGGGGCCAGGTGGTGGTGGTTGGCCAGGTGGTGTAGGTGGTGGCCAGGTGTAGGTGGTGGCCAGGTGGTGTAGGTGGTGGCCAGGTGGTGTGTGGTGGCTAGGTGGTGTGTGGTGGCTAGGGGTGGTGTAGGTGGTGGCCAGGTGGTGTAGGTGAGGCAGGTGTAGGTGGTGGCCAGGTGGGTGTAGGTGGCCAGGTGGTGTAGGTGAGGCCAGGTAGTGGGTGGAGGCCAGGTAGTGAAGGTGGGGAGGTGGTGTAGGTGGTGGCAGGTGGTGTAGGTG